CAATAGGCAGACACAACAATAATCGCAATAATATATACCAATAGGCAGACACAACAACCCAGAATCCTTTGACATGGACGACCTTTTTGGACGGGTGGACACCCGCAGAGCCGCGGAGCGCCCTCCAGGCCTGGCATCCGAACCTCCACGGACGCCACGAGCCGCGTGGCGAGCCGCGTGGCGAGCCGCGTGGCGAGCCGCGTGGCGAGCCGCGTGGACGCTGAAGAATCAGGCAGCGCCGCAGGGTGCTGTGTCAATGGACCCCCAAGCGTGCACCATTGGTGCATTTTAGTTGGCGCCCTTTAATTCAAAGAAACACCTTTTAACAGGATAGTTGGAGACGCAAGATATCGCAAGATCTATGCAAAGCAACATCTGTTTTTTTCCATCCAAGCAGCATGACTACGTCGAATGATGGGTGGCCGGTTGCGCAACGGATGGCAACGGAACCGCTGTTCTATCAGAGCGGGTGACATGGACATGAGTGGCTCCGGTTCTTTTTTCAGGGCTTTGTCCATCCTCAGGGCTCAGGGCGTGTTCCTGGACCGTTTCTCGTATCGTTTGGTTTGTTTTGCACGTGCCAAACAATGAATGCGTGTTTTCGCCGGTCTTCTGCACGGCCCTCTCAACAAGCCGTGTTTTCAAGAAAGCATCTATTGGATTCCTTGGATTCCATCGGGACCGGTGTTTGATTGCACCCGGCCCCTGCAAAAACCGGATAGATATGGGCCAGTGCCTCACCGGGCCTCAGGCTAGATGTCGAACGACGGGAAGCACGGGATGAAGCGATTTCTGGAGACGTGAAGAGGAGGCAGCTGTTACAGGTGACGAATCGTCATGTTGAAGACCTGCTATATTCATCCCTGACAAATCAGGGACAAAGAGTTCGCAGCGGTGTCGGTCAGTGCTGCTAGTGAAACATCAATTTGACATTACGTAATTTGAGAATATTTGAGATTGGTAGTGAGCCATGAAGGCAAACAGTATTTACTGTACGTCTTGTCTATGCAGACATCAGGAGCCGTCAGAGATGTGCGAGATCATGCTGCAGCAAAGAGCCTCCATGTGAGCCCATGGTTTGAAAGAGAAAACTAGTTGATTGAGGCTCAATGATTCAAACTATTTTCACATATATTTTTATTAAAGCATCAAGAACACAGCAAGCTAGAGGGGTTCATATGTCTCAACATTAAGCATCACAAAACACTGAAGCAAATCTTGAAAAGCATGCGAGCACGCAGATCCGTGTCGATGGATTGCATGGACCCGATGGATCATGAATCGAGGTTCCGGTCAGTTCTGAAGCAGTTGGAAGCTGCGCATGAAGACCAGATGGAATACCATGTTTCGAGGTTCCAATCATTGCTGAAACAGCTGAAAGCTGAGCAAGCTGAGCATTCAGAAGAGGTCCAGAAGCGTGCCAATTTGACGTGCAAGCTACCACGCCAAGTAGCAACACGGGCAGAAATGTGTCCTGCGTCCGGACCTCAGTTGAATCACCGCCCACAGGTGGGACAACCAGCCTATACAGGCAGCAGACCAGAGTGGAGAAGGCATCGTTTTTGTTTGGGTGAAGGCGAAGGGAGCTCCATTGCATTGCAAAGTAGAAAGAGAAGAGACCGTTGTTGAGGCACCCTCACCAAAGATAATCCCAACCTCCTGTGGTCGTGGTTTCCATGCTTTTCAACCACAAGTAGTGCCAGGAAACAGATTTCCGTGTGGTGGTTCGTGCCACCGGACCAAGGTCACAACCACTCAAGACAGTTGGCCGAGAGGAAGAGCTATTATCAGTACCACCACCAGCTGAAAACAGTGTGGATGAGCATCAATATGTGCGGACAAGCAACATTATTGAGATCTCTGTACCTGTTCCCGAAACTTCAGTTGGTGCTTCGAGCTTCAGTTGGTGCTTCGAGCTGGGATGGCTCTTGGTCACTGTCTCCAATTTTATTTTTGTAGCAGTGCGCATGCAGGATGACTTCCTTTTTACAAAGGATCAAGAATCTGAAAAAACGCTTGATGGACATCGTTTTGTGCCGGTATATCCTTTGTTGCATCACTTGTGGGTGGTCATCGCAGGAATATATGCAGTTTTATGGACTTGGCAAGTATTCCTTCGCTTCAGGCGCCAGGCATGGTCAGTTCTGAAATCTTGGGTTGGCTGGCTGGATGTTTTACTGGCATTTAGTGCCTGGGTAGAGCTGCTGCTTGACGTCCTGCCTATAATCCTGCAAGATCGAAAACTGCGGTTTGTACGAGTCTTGTACCCACTGTGCATCCTGAAATTCGTTCGCCCGGCGAGTGTATTGGTGACATCGAAGCGGGTGGAGCATCTCGCTTCGCTCCAGATGTTGCTCAAGGGTCTTGCGGCAGGGTTTCGTACACTTTGTTGGGCATGGCTCGTGCTTCGCTTTGCGACCGTCAGTGGAGCTCTCCTATTGCTCGGCCTTATCACGTCGGAAATGGATCAGTTTGGCGAAATGGTCTCAGAGAGATTGTTTGGCGATGGGCTTTGGGCCCTCTTGGAGATCATGTGGGGCGCCATGGACGGGGTGGACGTGGACACTGAGTATCTTCTGAATGGTGTATTTGGTGCTCCCGTATCCATTTTTTTGGCGGCCTACAAATATTTCCTGGGCTTTGCATTCCTGGAAATCATCGCCGCTGTGCTGGTGAGAATTGCTATGGAGCTATACGCAAAGGAAGAGGCAGACGCTGAGGCAGAAAAGGCCAAAACTCAAGATGCTTACCGAGAGTCTCTCATTGAGCTCTTTGAGGACATAAACTCTTCTGGCACTGGCCGAATCAGCTTTGCTGAGTTGAGTGAGCTCGTTCAGAGACCCGAACTTCAGAACAGACTAGAACAACTTGAAATCAATACACGCGATATCTCGTGTTTGTTCTGGATGCTAGATGATGGAGATTCTGAAATTTCACTTGAAGAGTTTGAAGATGGCATTTGGCGCTTGAAGGGGCCTGCACGAAACTTCGACCTTGCAAAGTTGGAGAGAGAGGTGCTCAAGCTGAGCCACAAATTTGATGTCATTTGCGCCTCTACAGGAATCGCTGTCCCAAGGTTGAGCTGTAGGATGTCCAAGCAATCCCTCAAGACTGTATCACGTTTCAATTCACAACAGTCTGATGAATTCTGTCAGGTTAGTATCTAGGCTGTCTCACTATGGCTCTTTGGTTTCATCTCAGACTTGCAAATGTATGGCGTATGGCTTCATAGTGTCATGGTTATAACATGACCTTCAACCAAACACATGCAGAAGCACAGGTGCAAAATGCGTCGACAAACGAATCGACAAAAAGGCGGACAGAATTGCTTGCCTGGGGACATGGATTTGCTTGCCTGTAGGCTCACTCCAATGGCCCTCAGAACCTTGAGCAAGCAGTTTCATGCGTGATGCGTCATGTATTTGGCGCCTCAGGGGATGGTCTCAGGGCCTCAGGGTTTGAGCGGTTCATGGCACGACTTAACGCCATATGCCCCACCGATCCCCACCGATCCGCAGTGCGTCAGGGCTGACCTCCGAAGCGCGAGCAGATGCTGAGAGGAGGTGGGTGAGGCTGAAAAAGGGCCGGACTTGTCACAGCGCAGGGGGTGTGACAATGGCCACTTCTGTATTGACAGACACAGCCCTTAGCAGAAGCGGTTCTAAGGCAGCCGGTCATTGATTTATACATATATATATACATACTGTCCAGGGCATTGCTCCTGTTGCTGTCATGTCTGTCCTCATGAACGAGCAGCTCTTGAGATGCACGAAACAACGGCCACTGCTCCTGGAGCAATATGTCAAAGCCTTTTAAGAAGCTGGGCACAGCTAATCATTTATGCAAGTCTCTTCTCACGACCTTATAGGCCCCTCTATGGGATAGTCTATAGGGTTCTTCAACCTTTGCTTGGAGTTTAGGCAGTTCTTTCGTGGGTTATACCCGTATTTGCCTCATCTACTGAGGTCCTCCACGGACTTCCGCATGCTACGAGTGTGCGCCGTTGGAGGAGCCAAGGTCTAGACCATCACGTGGACCCCACTTGCGCCGTTGTCCGCAGCCACACAAAGCAAAGAAGCGGCATACCAGGAATCAACCTTTTGACAAAGGATTCAATCATATTCAATATATGGGTTGAATTGCACTTGCTCCCAAATCTAAGGCACCTCGTGAAAAGGACGACTGGTAGCAGTCAACTCTATCACAGTAGGAGTTGCTGGGGGCAGGTGGTAGCGACAACTCCTACGAATCAATTGCTGTCGGTCTGGGGTCGGGAACGGGTCGTGGCAGCGATGGCAGACGCGCGGGTGCATCGCTTCAAGGCGGGGAGACGATTGAAACGAAGCACCGCGTGGGTCGTGCTGCTGTTCCTAAGCAGGAGTATTTTGGTGCAGTACGTTGTTGTTTTCATATATGTTTTTATTAATTGATGAATGGCTTTCATGTTAGTTTTTAAACATGTTGTTTGGCTTTTCTTCGTGTTTCTTAGGTACTACAGTAGAAGCTTTCTTCGCAGAAAAAAGATCTTCATCACTACGTTCTGCGCCTGGTGTCGTTCTGATTTGTTTTTGCGTGGTGTTACTATGTTGTGCTGGTTTTAGTGCGCTTCGTTGTTCGTTTGGCTTCGTTGTACTACCCGTTGTACTTCCCGTTTGACGTGGACATCTCTAGGGCCTCGGAGCTTCCAATCACAGCCCATACTAGCGCGAACAACGGACGCTCGGCTGGCCAGTTGGCAAGACATTGCCAGTTCAAAGAGATAGTGTATTCTATCTATACCGTCTACACCGTCGCACTTTTTTTTGTGAACATGGAAGTTCGCACTTTCGGAAGACGTATGTGTTTCAAACCGATTGAGCAGGGTTTCTCTTTGTATTTTGCTTGGCACCATCACTTCTAGTCTAGTGCAGACAGGCCTTGCAGGATTTGCTTTGGGCTTTGGTGGCGGCCCAAGCAGGGTCGGCTCTTGGTATTCAGTTTTGAGATGTTTTGAGTTTTGATTTTCCAGATCGGAATTTGCATGGTAAAGCCTTAGCGGCCTTGTTATAACTGTTATATCAGGCTTTTACTTAGCCGTCTTCATCCACTGGCGAAGCGCTAGACCAAACTGGGACCTAGACCAAAGACCCCAAGGACGGTCGATGGGAGGTGTGCTAGGCAGGGCTCTCCCAAAGGCGAGCAAAGGTGCCAAGTGAGAACCCCCAGGGCACCCTGATGCGGGTTGATATTTGCCGATCTCGCCGGCCATGTTGTTCTGTTCTTCCAGTTGGGGGGCGGCCACATCGACTCACAGCCACATCTACTTAGCATGTCTCAGCCCAAAGGCTCCCATCAGTAGCTCCACATCCTGAGGTGCCCAAGTCCGAGCCCCTCGAGGCACGGTTGCACGGTACGCGCGCGTGCCTCTGGCGAGCGTGGGAGGGAGAGCGGACACGTTTGGGGCGAGCGGCTGAAGTCGATGTTTTTGATTGTTGGCCTCACAAATGAGATGAGCTCGTGAAACACGGTGAAAAGAATCCCCCACATGATGCCCACAAGCTCACTTTTGAGGGGTCATGGCGCCACACTGAGACACATCAAGGGTCCTAGATTCGTGCGTGCGAACCTCAACACCACGGTGACCTGGGTGATGAGAGAGAAAGACCGTTAGGGGGGAGCGCGAGGTTTGGAAGCCCCAGACCCTAGGATTCGAACCCCTTTTTTCTCTTTCAGGGTGAGACAAGGTGTTCACCACCCTTGATTTACATCAGGGTTTCAGCTTTCAGACCCTAAAAAAGGGATCCACATGTTTGGAGGGTCCAGTCGTACCATAGAGGATCCCGGAGACCTACACCGGTCCAATTCCTCGGCCACACCCAGGTCGCCGCCGGGTCTGGCGTGTCGGAAGCGGCGCTGGTGGGATTGTGGGGCTCCCCGGTGGGTCGCGTGGGTGACTTCCAGTTGGAGGGGCATTGTAAATACATGAGCAGCGCCGTAAACCTCCCTTTACATTTTTGTTAAGAGCTTGGTCATAAGGAGGGTTGGCGTAAGCAAAAGTCTGCTGCGCGTAAGGTTGCGTAAGGTTTTTTCAACATAACCAGTGGCGTAAGGGCCAATCAATGAAAACAAGTTGTTTTTATGAACCAAGGAATGATCAGACATGGCGTAAGGTCCGCGTAAGCACTGCGTAAAGACAACTTCGATTTCTAATCAATTGCCCACGCATGGCGCCAGCTCAGACTTTGAGCAGGCAAGCAAGAAAGCGCAAGCGCCAGAGTGAGGCCATGAAGTCTGACCAGGTGTTTGATGCAGAATCCACATCGTCCTCATCAAGCATATCATCTAGTCACTCTGCAAGTAGTGCTGCGTGAAAATGGTCGCCTGCCTTGTGTGCGTGTGTATCTATCCTGCTATGAACTCATCTTCGCGTAAGCTTTTCTCTTGGAGGGGTGTGGAAATTTGAGTGCAGTGCTCTGGCGTAAGCCTGGCGTAAGCCCTTTCTACCACAAACCAGCCGCGTAAGCTAAAACTGTGCGCGCGCAAGGAAAGCGTAAGTCTCAGCGTAAGACTTCCCATACGACCTTTCAATCTATCAAGGTTTCCAGCACAGCTCACATGTAAATACAAACTACTAACTATACCACTGTTGGCTTGGAGTGAAGATTGACTCTTCTAAGTTGTTCCTTTACTTGAGAAAGGGAAGCGTCTTTTTGTTGATCGTTTGAATATGTTTATATAAACAAGATTTTCTCTGTTTGCATCGAAGAAAGTTGTGATCCCATGGTGCTTTGCGTGCCGTTTTTTCTCTCTCGACTGCTTTGCTTGTGCGGATTGCGGATTGCGGGCTTTCTGACTTTTCCGGCTGAAAGTTGAAGGCCTTGCTCCTTTTGCGCTGCTTGGACCAAGAGACTGTCATGATGATGGTCGCAACACGAACGAATAAGTCCCTTTGGACATCTGCACAAGCACGGGAGCTGAGTCCCAATTTCATTGGCTCACTCCGCTCGAGCCAGTTCTCCAGTCTGTACACAATACCCAGACACTACATGTGTACCGTATTTGACTACATTGAGATGGTTGAAAAAGGTGTCAATTGTATAGTCTTATAATATATTCCAGCCCCATGGAATGTTTAGGATGGGTTGGGTGTTTCCAGTTCCCAGATTAGTGTTTTCCCTTCCCGTGGTGTTTCCTTTTCCCAGATTGGTTTTTTCGGTTCCCGTGGTGTTTCTGGTTCCCAGGTCTTGGTGTTTCCAGTTCCTGGATTGGCGTTTTTCCTTCCCGCCTTCTGTATTGTTTTTTTTGGTTCCCACTCTTGGTGTTTTCCCTTCCCGGAGTTCTCCCCCCCAGGTCTGTGTGTTTTCAGTTCCTGGATTGGTGTTTTCCTTGCCCAGCTCCTGTGTTGGTGTTTTTGGTTCCCAGGTTTGGGTGTTTTCAGTCCTGGACAATGTGTTCCCTGCCCGGCTCCTGTGTTGGTGTGCCCTTTCACGTGTTTGTTTATCAGCTTTCGTTTGAATTTCTGGCTACCATTGCCCACCGCTGGATTTGAAAGCACGTACTCGTGTCACACAATTAAACAGACAAAGAACACTGCAAAGCCGTCAAAGCCATTCGCTGTAAAAACATGTCAGTTTGCGTAAACCCACTGCCGCAAAAACACAAGGTACCCGGTGACACCATCATAACCGCGCACTGTACGAACACATAGACGAAAGCATACAGAGCTTCATTTTTGGCCATGAGCGCTGGGAGACCCTCAGCGAAGAAGACGAGGCAGGTGGTACAAAGTTATCTATCATGTAGTGTATCGCTCCTACCATGCCGTTACACCGCTGGATTTGAAAGCACGTACTCGTGTCACACAATTAAACAGACAAAGAACACCGCACTGTACGAACACATAGACGAAAGCATACAGAGCTTCATTTTTGGCCATGACGCGCTGGGAGAACCTCAGCGAAGAAGAGGCAGGTGGTACAAACTTATCTATCATGTAGTGTATCGCTCCTACCATGCCGTTACAATTTGGCATGTAACCTTGTACCAGGCCAACTGGTGCTGGACCGCCAAAGACTATTTGCACCAGCACTGTGCCCTTACAGTGAAAACACCAGCCTGTAGCTTAATTGCAGCTGCTTCTGCTTACTTAGCTTTGCGCTGCTAAATCTGAGCCTACCAGGTTGGATTCCTCCGCTTCGCTGTCGTTTGGCCCCCAGCTGCAGCAGTACTGTTTGGCTCTGCAGCACGTAGTTTCCCTCTTGTCCGTGCTTACTGCTGTGCTGGCTGTTGCTGTTCCCGCTGTTCTTGCGGCCGCTGTTCCTGTCGCTGTCGCGGTTGTTTCTGTTGTTGTTGTTGCTGTTGTTGTTGTTGCTGTTGCTTCTGTTGCTGTTGCTGTTGCTGGATGCGGCTGCTGCTGTTGCTGCTGCTGGTGGTGCTGCTGCGGAGGTTCTGCTGCTCGTTGTCGTTGTCGTTGTCGCTGTCGTTGTCGTTGTCGTTGTCGTTGTAGTAGTAGTAGTAGTAGTAGCAGTAGTAGTAGTAGTTAAGTTGTTGTTGGTGGTGGTGGTGTTGTTGTAGTTGTTGTTGTCGTCGATTTTCGCATGTTCTTTGTTGATCGTTGTTGGTCGTCGTTGTTGGTCGTCGTCGTCGTCGTTGTTGTGGTTGTTGTTGTTATTGTTGTTGTTGTGGTCGTTGTTGCTGTTGTTCGTGCTGGTCGTGGTGGTGGTAGTGGTGGTGGTGGAGGTGAAGGTGGTGGTGGTAGTGGTGGTAGTGGTTGTGGCTTTTGGTGGTTCGTGTTTGTTCGTGTCTTTACAACAATTCTTTCGCGTTGTCCCGCGACAACACAAGACTCCCACCATTTCACACGGATCACAGCACACCCGACACGGGAACCGAAAACACCGGACGCGAAAACCACAAACACCGGAGACCTAAACGCACCGAACGCGGGAACCGAAAACACCCGACGCGGGAACCGAAAACATCCGTGCATTTTTCCCTCTTCAACGCAAGGCCGGTACCGAAAACACCATCACAGGAACTGAAAACACCCGCGGGCACTGAAAAAACCGAGCCGGGCACCGAAAACACCGCCGCGCGGGAACCAAAAACCCACTTGGGAACCAAAAACACCGCGGGAACCGAAAACACCAACGCGGGAAGAAAAAACACCGCGGGAACCAAAAACACTAATCCGGGAACCAAAAACCCGGAGCCCGTTTAGGATAGAGACAGAGACTTAATTGATGCCAGGGCTTCTACTTTTTCAGTCCTCATTTGTGTGAGGCGCCACGCCTCAAAGAGTGTGACACCGGCCCGGTATTTTGTGTGTTTTTCTTGCGCAACTCCTTGATTGATTCGATCCGAAGAAGATCTGCTTTTGGCTCCAACGGGTATGTAGCTCAGTATATATATTAAAATAAGCGGCCATACTTCCCAGACACTCCATTATACTCCATATAATTTTGACAGGATTAAGTAACCTCCCCCTATTAATCAAACCCAGCTCGAGCCCCCAATACTAAACTAATTTAAACCCTGTTACATCATCCTATTAATATGTTTTTCCCTGGCAGAAACCTCCCCCTATTAATCAAACCCAGCTCACCCCGGAAAAAATAAAACAACTTAAATTAAAACAACATACAATTAGTTTTAATACTATTTATTGTTTCTTTTGGGGCAGTCTCCAATATCTTCTGGTCCATGGTGAAACTGATCTTCTGATCCACCCTTGTCTCATGCCTTCTCTTTGAGAGATAGCATTCTGATCCACCCTTTCCCATGCTGATCCTCTCATCCATCAATCATTCTGATCATTCTGCTTGCTCTTCTCATCCTTCCCAGAAGCAATCTGTGCAGCCAATGTATACTCATATGGGATCTTCCTCCCCAGCCTCAGGTCATCACCTTTATTAGGGGGGTGCAGTCTCCAATCCCTCCAATCCCAAACCTCCTTGACCTAGTTGACCTTGAAGGGGGGGTTGATTAATCCGGTATCGACATTATATGAAATAGGGTGGTGGTCAGGGGTGCTTTTGTCGACATCATATGCCATGCTCCCTATGGGGCCACTGCCGCCCTCTGAGGTACGGTGAGGACGGAGACACTATTATTATAAGATCTTGTATGTCGTCTTGGAGGGTCCAAACACCTTCTGAGGAGCCTCTGAGGATCCTTAGGGACAGTGTTTGGCATTATTTGGAACATTTTTTGTTGAGCATTCTATGATCCATTGCCTCCAGGTCTGTGCTGTTGCCCGACAGCGTGATCCAGCAGGTGCGGTTCACGCTTGCGCCTTGGCGTCTTGGGTTTCTCCGATGTGTGCACGGCACGTGTTAGAGAAAGCACCAGATGTTATATATACCCGGACCTGCCCAGTGACCTTCCCATGGAGTCCCTGTTTGTGACCTCACTTACAGGCCTGTTCATGACAAACCACAAAGTCAAGTTCGGTCAGTGGAAAAGCTCTTTGGGGGCTCCACCACCAGCGGTCTTTGTCTCCCGCCTTTTCATGAACCCGGCCACACATGGGCCCGTCGGAAGGCGCGACGGTTTCTTCGGGGGGTACCACCGCTGCAGGTGATGGCTGTCGACCCAATGTGCATACGGTTCATACGGGACGATTAGCAGGGAAGAGGTAGGAGCATTTTTGTTGGGCAACTTCATTTTGCAATGACAATGAACATTTGTTCAACGAACCGATATCGCAGGCCTTGCACCTGGTGGATTCCAAGGGCATTTCATGCGTCACCACGAGTGGCAGCTGGACACGGACCATTTACGAGGCGAGCGGGCACTTGCGGCCGCAACGTGGCAAAACAGCCTAAGGCCTAGACGAGTAGGAAAACCTTTGGCAATTGTAATACTACTGTAATCCAACAATACTACTTGTAATATTTGTAATACTGTAATTACGAGTAGGAAAACATTGGGGTAAAACACACATGTAATATCTCTAATCCAACGGTGTGCCTAAGGGCCCTAGGGCACGTGCAGTGGAAAGCCTCCTCCAAATCTGATCGGTTAAAGTCGTGTTGGCATGTGCTGAGCGGGGAACAATTCAACACTACCAACACTTCTTTTATACCATTTTTTGGGGAGCGTCCACATCCTGTTTTGAGGCATTTCAATGGTATTTCTTGGTATTTTCTAGGCGTTTGATTGCGTCTTCGGACCAAACAGCGAGTCGTGTGCAGGGAGTTCACTCTCGGTTCCGGCAAGCCGACACGTACCGACACGGTACGCAGTTGCGGTACCACACGTACGACGCCAGGTGCAGGGCGAGAAGACGACCTACTTGGTCTTGGGGCATGGGCTGTACTGTTCTTGCCACGGCCCCAAGACGGGAACGTCCATGTCCAATCTGCTGCCGGCGATCGATGCGAAGACGGAGAGAGAGGATCAAAGAATCCTTAGCGGCGAACGATCAACACATTTGGGTGAGAGCCGTTGGTTGATGTGAGATGTGAATAGATTTGATATCCGCATGCCGCATGTCGGTTTTGAGTTGCCTGGTGTCTCTTCTTCGCATTTACATGCATTTACTTATTGCGACCGGGCAACATTGTCAACAGCATCCATGTCGCAGCCATTGGCGAACCACGCAGCCAGCGCCAGCTGCGTCACCAAGAGGTCAACTCTGATGACTTGGTTGATGACTCCCCCGGTCCAACCATGTGACTCAACAAACACGACCCAAGATGGACCATCACCATCACCACACCCAACACGGGAGGCCGAAGCAGGGAGGCCGATACGGCTCCCGAGTCGCATCGGAAGGTGTGATTCGAATGGACCGGCCGGAGCAATGAAAAGCTGCATGTCGCCTCGCCAGCACCTCCATGTACCTTTTTACATAAACATACATAAACCACCCGACCTTAGGCAGGACAGTACTTGGAGCACCTCCCTCGTTGCCTTCCATGGATGGCGCCATTGCCGTCCTTGTGCCCCTCCACTCGAGCCGGGCGTTTCCCGCGCGACCGGGGGAGAGGACACGGCGGCGATGCGCTGTCCGGGCGATGGCAGGCCGGGCGGAGCAGCACGGAGTGGTGTTTGCTTCTAAAGGGCGTCCATGTGATTGGAGGTCAGGTATACAGTCATACAGGATGTTTTTATCAGTTTTATATACTTTTATCAAATCATCTATGGCCCTATATGTAGTAAGAGTTTCACAATTGTTGCTTTTTTTTCTGTAGGATTGGCTCCCTTGGGATGATTGATCAAGTGGGTTGAACCCACCAACAAATACAATTGGTCCAGCAGTCCAAAGGTTATTTGGTGTCTTCCTGAAGTGCCCATAGAGTCTCCCGAGAGCTGGACATAGATCAGCATATCGTAAAGTTAAAGACTTGTTCGTAACAAGTGTAGAATTTTGGCACCAGAGCTGGGGGTGTTGGCTCGGAGACGCATACAATCGTTCCATATATGGTCCACCATTCCCTCAGCTGAGATTCGTTTAAAGCATGTACATGCAGTTCACAAGTTCCGCTGCAGTACGATCTAGTACGATCTATAGGTTGGTCACCTGGTCGGCCCATGTGGTTGGTCACCTGGTCGGCCCCATGTTTTGCGTGCTCCTTCCTCTCGCGGACCAGGCGCCATCACCGGTCTCCATGCTCTCTCTACGCGGCAGGGCCTCCGGGGGCGGCCACGGCCCAGGCGCCGGCAGCGGGCGCCGCGGCGCGACGTGAGGCGCGACGTGCCGGAGCTGCCACCGGTGGACGAGAGCATTTGGAAGCCAATGCCAGTGAGTGAGGAGGAGTTGAAGGCAGCCATGGTGGTCGACGAGCACTCTGTGGCCTGGTGAAGGAGCAGGCAGTCGCCTGTGAAGTTGGGTCATGCAAAGGGGCCATGAAAGTTGACGATGTCTCCCAGCAAAACGAGATCCATTTCTTAGGATTTCTCGCTGCTCACCCTACTGTACTACTGGACCGGCCCCCACCCACGATCACCTGCCTAAGTTCCTTGGAGCTCACCTCCCAGCCACACCCAGTCGGTGGCCTCCGTGGCCGACGCCGTGTGGGCCGGCGGCGCGGCCCTCTTCGTGCACCGCTGGGCGCAGCTGGCGGCGGTGCGGAAGGCCTTGAACGCTGCCGCCGACGCAGAGGAGGTGGGGGCAGTTCTGCCGGTGCAGCAGTTTCGGTGGACCATGGTGGACCCTGTGACCGGCGGAGTTCTTGGCAAGGCAAGGTCCGCCTTGGCCACCACAAGGATGTTGGTATTCCATCAACTCTGAATCTATACTTGAGCATCCTGCACTTCTGAGTGATACTCGTATCAACGTTCAACCCTTTAAGAATGGCTTTTAAAAAGACGAAGCTTGAGGCGGTCAGGGACTTGGGTCGTTTCACAAGCGCAGTCCTGAGACTCCAACGATAAACAGCTTATTTGAATTTATTTGAGCCGTATTTGCTCGTATAATATATATAATATACAGTAACTCAACGTCTAATTACTTCTCACTCACTCTTCTTCAACGTTTGTTTTTGCATGATTTTGCTTGTTCAATCACCTGCCCTGGCCCACCTTTTCATGACCTGGCCCACCTGGGCCCACCGTTTTCACCGGTCTTCCCCGCGCTCTCACGACCCCGGGCCTCCCCCGGGCGCGAGGCGCGCGCCGAGCACGGCACCGAACCCGTGGAGCGCTTCCGCGTGCGGCGGAAGCGGCTCCGGGCCTGCGCGAGGCGACTCTACGTGCGGGTGGCGTCGAACGGAAGGTGGCTGGGACGCGATGGGGACTGGAATGGGGCTGTGTGTGGTGTAGAATGCGCATTGTTCAGGGAATGTTCATGAATGTTCATGTTTCTTTTAAAGGCAAGAGTTGGTATACCTGTAGAATTATAGGTCACATGCATTGTTGGGGGCGTGGTAAAGGCTATGAGGGTCAAAACAGATGAGAGTTTGGTGGCGGGATCACAATTTCAATTCAAAGGTTTTTAGTCAGTATATATAGGAAGTCAATGTTGCTTGAATTTGGCCTATGCATCGACCCGTCTCAAGCGTTTTCTAAGGTCCCTTAAAAAACCCTATCCTTGTCCATCTAATCCCTGTCATCCGTGGATGTTCATCCAAAAGCAGTCTCTCTGACTTCGAATACTGTCGCTTCCGTGCTCGGCCAAAAGCAGAGCTCGTAGGATCATCCCTGCAAAGGATCAAACAGATTATCAAATGGAATGAAGAAAAAAGTCCAGTCACCCAGATCATCCATGTGACTCGCAAAAAGCATGAACAAGGTCACCCCATGAAACATATCATGGGATCCCTTCATTGTAGAGACGTCATGTTTTACATGTAGAACATGGGTTGGTAAACCTCTTCCATGGTCGTGGACGTCACGTCCGGACCCGCCCCGGGGCGCCACGCTGAGGCTGGGCGTGGACGGTGGACCTCGGCAGCTTGGACCCAGGACCCACGCGCGACCCAGGTCGGGGTAGTGAAGGAACACCCCGAATCGATCACCTCTTTCGTTACAGGGGACACCCTGGTATGCCTATGGGAGTGTGAAAGGAACACTCCGGACCTTCCATGGGAGGCATAGCTACAGGGCCTACATGGGGGTGATTTCAATAGCCAGTGTAGTCATCGGTCTAATATATTCCAGTCCCATGGAGCGGCAGCGTCTGGGTGATGGCCAATTCGGAAGAATTCGGCGGAGACCTCCTTGATGTTCTTGTTTTTGAAAGGAACGCCGACAGGAACGCGAACGCAGTGAAGACATGTTGATTAAACAGGTGAAAAACCGGAGGCTGTGAAAGTGAACACAGTTGATCGTTCAGGTAACGGTATAGGTTCATCTCACTTCATCCCTCACTTGGCCATGAACGGTCGAACAGTCCTAGATCCGACCCGGCTTCGTCCACTGGTCACGCCGTGCACGCCGTCCTTATGCACAGCATGCGTCAGAAACTGTTTTTTGACAACTGCTTTTTGACAACTTCTCCTGTTTCAAATCAAGCCCCTAAACTTCTCAAGCAAACAGATTGTATAAGCATATAAGTATAAGAACTAAAGAAACAACACTGTTTTGGGTAGAGCTTCCCATACCAAAGGCTGTCACCGGACAAACTGCTGGTCACTGCTAGGTATGGTGAACGACCCTTCAGAAGAAAGTGTGCCTTTCTAAAAGATGATTGACTGAAGGGCAATTTTGCCTAGCCAGTCAGTGGTTCATCTCTTTGACACATTCTTTCTTGGATCTTTTTGGCGATTGATTTCTATATGCTTCTCTAATGAAGTGGGTGGCCAAAAGGGTGATTCTTACTTTCTTTTCTTGGGAAACTGAACGCTTCAGCTTTGGAGCGTTGTTTTCCTCCACAGGTTTTCTGGTATCGTTCCAAACAATGCAAACAATCTCCAACCTACGAAGGGTGCAGAGCCAAGACTGGAACACGGAGGAATACGAATAGGTTTTTTTTTGTTGAGGATCGGTGAAGTTGATTGGTGTGATTCTTTCATTTCTGTTTCTTTTCGACCGTGCTTGGCTAATTTTGTTTGGCCAACGTCGTGCCTCTTGACTCCTACATAGCAACCCTCCAAGTGGGTGAGTATTATACTATACTAGGTGATCTGAAGGTTATTTTGGGAGGGCAATCAACACGCTATATGTTATGTCACAGTAAATCACATTAGTGATTCAACCGGGAGGTGTCTACCAGAATGTTCTTTTGCCTCACAGACTCATTAGTGGTTCAGGCCCGTTGAGCGTAGTGAGACGGTGTCTCTACTACCAACAGGTTGAAGGACCCTAATTCGACTATCCCAGTTCGTTACCCCAGGTGACGGGTCCTATTTACGGTCACAAAACACCTCTCTTGGAAGGTAGGTACAATATGCCTTACATGGAGTGTTTGAGGTGTTTTGTTTGGGTGTCACAAAAAACATCTCTCTGTTGTTAAACACCCGGAAACACCCCTCAAGGTTGGGCTATGTCCCTGTGCTCTACGCGAATCATCCGTTCGACCTCGCTTTCCGGGCGAACGATGTGGCGGCGCTGAATGTGGCGTGGCAATTCTTCGTGAATGGCCTGGACTACAGCCTCTTGGCTCGAAAACAGCCTAATTAGGGCCTGAAGGAACTGTTTTGGGTGTTTTTTTTTCACAGCCTTCAGTGAGTGTGGGAGATTCTGCTCATGGGGAGTTCGCTCAACAGCTTCTAGGGGAACTGAGGACAGTGCTCAACAGCTTCGGTGGTTTTTCAGCACCCCTCCGACGGTCCGTGCGAGGATCTTCGAGGTAAGTATGTTTGGATAGACCCGCTGAAGTCCAAAGACTATATGTTGACCGGCTGAAGTGTTCAGGAAGTCCCTTTCAGGTCCCTAAAGACCATTCCTTTTATAGTCTTTGACTCCCAGGGTAGACAAACAAAGAAGAAGATGAACAATTGAGAGTCCCTCGAGCTGTGTCTATGTTGGGGAGCTTTCAAGCAAGTCTGGTCTCGACAGTGGTTGGTCCTGGAGGTTGTGGATGACCCCTAAAGAACATGGAGTGCACTTGGACAGGATGGTAGCAACCGCGCACAAAACAAACAACACATGATGAGAGCATAGATGGAACAGCTCCCCTGGCAGATAGAACCTTTTCCCGGCAGATAGAACGTCTAGTCACGTCTTCTTCAGACGAGATCTCGTGGGTCTGGGGTCTTCTTTTTGAGTTATAACCCTTGTGCTGCACAGATGCAGCTCGCTGGGTCCGGTTACATCGGAAGCAGCTCGCTGTCTCCCTCCTCAGCTGTCTCGAGCTGATATGACGGGAGTCGTGACGGGAGTCGTTTTGGTCGTTTGCGGCCAGGCTTTCTGTCTCGGCCGCTGCACCCCTTCTTCGGGGTCTACTTCACTCTATCTCCCACGGATGCTGGGATGAACATCCACCGGCGGATACGGAGGATTTGTTTTTCGCTCTCATTCAATAGAATGAAGAGGTCCGCAGAAAAGACATACAAATCGTTGATTTCAGGTTTATGAATTGCTACAGTTTGCCCCGATACATGCCAAAGGGAAGATGAAGCACACAGTAGTTCTTGGGTTTCCCATGGTTTCCAAGTAGAACATCGATTCACATACTTTGAACTCTGGTTCAGAGAAGATGGCTGGATATGGCTGGTGCTTTTTGGATCTTATTGGTTGGTTGGCTGGTTGTTCAGATTCCATATGTTATAGCTATATCGGCTATAGCTGCTACTTTTGTCAGCCCTGTTGACAGTGTGGTTGCAGGCAGGGTGGATGTGGGACTGATTGATGCAGCTTTGTGACTGGAAGATTCAACAGATTCAAACAGATGCTTGTGGATTTCTCATGTAAGTGGCCGTACGGCCGTAACGTTTCGGTCGGTCAACCGAGTACTTCTTATGTTGACAGGTTTCGATTCAGGGCCGCGACGCGACATCGGCGCAGCTTCCCAGCACCCAGTCTTCGCCCTAGGAGCACTTCCGCTTGGTAGACGACTGGCTAAAGTGCTGGACGCCTCCCAGCCACAGAAGCTAAGCCTAAGCGCACCGCTTTTCCCGGGAAGGACGGGGGGGAAAGAGGCGGGGTTGGTGACCCCAGGTTAGCGTTTCTTACACAGAGCACTCATGTTCCATACTGCGGACGGAACACTCCCAGAGGCACGTAGAGCGCACAAGGACCAGACTTGATGGGACCCACTTGCGGACCATGCGACCTGCACATGCTTCTCCCCATGAAGCCTAGGTATCTCAATGGTTTAGACTCATCCGCTGCATGTGGTCCTTGGGGAAGAGGAAACTTGGACAATCCCTCGGGCAGTCATTCGAATGCTTATGAACCAAACAAGCTGGATAGCGGTCATGTTAAATGTTATGAACGACGTCGAATGCCTCGAGGCCGTGTGCTGGACCTGGGGACCGGTTGTGGCGCCCTTTGGATCCGCAGGACAGGTCCGTGGGCGATAGTTCCGTGGAGAGGATGGCATCGGGACTGGTGCACTCATCGGCTGAACCCATGGATCTTGTGTGGTTTTGGTGTGCAGTGTTTTGTGCGTTCTGTGATTTTTGGTGTGTTCTTTGCACTCTTCGCGGTCTTCAATCTACTGGTCTTCAATCTGCACTGGACAGATTCTGAATTCTTTGCGTCTCTGCACTTCACGTCTCGGACGAATGGACCGGTCAGACTGGCCAACCCAAAGGGAGAAGCGGCACCGGAGCACTGACCTCATGCTGGTGTGTCGCAGGTCATGCCATTTGTTACTCCCTGACATTTGAGGTCCTTAGTCCTTTAAACAGCATAAGCCATGGGTTTGAGTGCAAGCACATCGTGTCTAGTCTGTGTGTACTAAAGTCTGTTCTACCTTTAAATATGTGTTGTTCTTTCTGGTTTATGTATGGGCTGCAGAACTGTGCCAAAACCCCTTTTTGGTAGACTGAGAGCCGTAGTCTAAATTTTAAAGTTTACAGGATGTGTAGAAGTCGATCGATCTTGGGGTTGGTTCCTGAACTCTTCTGCAACCAATCTCGCATCCCTACGCATCTACTGCCGCTGCGAGACTGCGCACGGTCAATCTGGAACCCACCGGGACCGGCCTTTGTCCGCCGTTGGGCGAAAGGAAGCGCATCGAACACCGTGGCCACTGAGGTCATTAGCTTCATGCTGCGCAGCTCGGCACTTCATGTCTGGCTCGGGTTGGACATGTGCAGACATAGGAGTCACAGGATCTGAAGAAATTTTGGCAGGACAGATGTGTTTCAGATCCTTTCCATTGCATTGAATTCGGTCCGTGCACGGGAAGGGAAGCTTGTGTGCAAAGTGTTTTGAACAACCAATATTTAATGATTGCTCCTTTAGCAGGGAAGGCTGCTTATGAACCTGCAGAGTGTTGTTGGTATGAACGGTTGGCCTTCCGATCATAATCTACTATAGAATATGCCAGGCATGAGCCCAACTGATTTCAACCGCAAAATGACATCCCGAGTTTGACTCGGAACATCAATTTTTCACCATGAAGGTCATCCCAATGATGCATCCTCATGATGCATCTGAGAGACCTTTTCCGTCGATGACTCGCCATACATACCACTACTGTAGCCATTCCCTGCCACATCATGGATCCATCCCCAGCTCCACCCATCCTCATCTCACTTGTCTTGGCTCCACCCAAGGCCAGCACTTCAGCCGTGAAGAGGTCTCCATCGTGGCCTCGGATCGCTGTCCCAACGCTTGCTTCTCCGTGTCCGCTGAGCTGTGGCGTCAGGCGCGGAGCGATGAGAGCTCCGGCGACCTTGGAATCCAGGCGCGCGGTGACGGGAGGATGAGAGGACAGAGAAGAGACACGACGCGGTGCTGTCGCAAACTTGGTTGGATTTCAGAAAGTCAGGTGTTGCCATGAGACTCTTGGAAGAGTCGACGGACGTTCCCCCTTCAATTTTCCCAGGGTCTAGCCTGACGAACCATTCTTTCTGATTAGAGTCTTTGACTCCCAGGGTCTAGTTCACCAGATAGTTCATAGCATTAGCCTGGATAGTGAGACCTCGTGAGACTCGTGGGGGGGCTGTCGGTCGGGTCCTTGAGACCTCGTGTGATCTGCGGATCTGCGGATCTGCACCACTTCAGGGAACACCTAAGGTGACTTGGGGGGTGACTTGGGGGTGGTTTGGGGTGGCTATATATCTTTGTGGTTCTCCTCAAGGGGCCACTTTCTTCTCTCTTTTTGCCGCCTCCAGGTGAAGCACAGTGAGCTCTTTGAGGAGCTTGAAGAGGAGGCAGATGGAAAGACGGGGAAGTCAGAAACAAAACACCACAAAGATCCGCCAAGGAAGATCGCGGAGATCTATACTCGGCTTTTGTAAACGCTTGAGTGTATCTGGATTGTTGTCCTTGTTCGTGCCATGTCAATTTCTGCCAAGTTGCGGAATCCCGGAATCAGTTTCGCTGTGTTTCGCTTGCCCCTTGGAGGGTCCCTTTGACCTCATCATCTTCAACCCTCCTTGGGTCCCTCGTGCACTTGACCACGATGCTGCAGAGAACGACGTGGTCTTCGGCAACGACTACCCGCCCAAGCTCTTCGAGAAGCTCTTCGAGGAAGTCCCCAAGGCGCTGGAAGCGATCGGAAGTCGGAACCAGTGACGTTCCTGTTTGTCTGAACCACGCGCGTGCGAAGTGGTTCAGACAGACATGTGGGCTGTATCGTCCTGTGTTTTCCATCGGGAGGAAGAAGGAAAATAGACCGTCGACCAGTCCACCCAACACTACACACATCTACACACCATGATGTATTTTCATGGATTTTGTGACTCTTTCAGATTAAGGTGAGACTCTGAGAATCTCTGAGACCTGTTTTGCAAGGCATGGATTCCATTCTTGTCAGATGAGTCACCTCTGAACATAGGCCGCTCAGCAGGCCGCTCGCATCCGCTCACCACTGATCCACAGAACCCCCCAGTTTTACGTTGCTAACAGGTCGTGTGTCCGTCCGCCAGACCAGGACATCCTTTCCACTCAGATCACTCGTTGTGCTTCCAAGATCTCGTTTTCGCCCCCGAAACGGAGCTTCCGACGCCCGACGCAGCTTCTAGAGACACGCTGAGACCGACCGATGACCGACGCGCAAAAGGTGCTTCAGCCTTCAGGGCACTTGCTGGTGCTCTTCTCCAACTACGCGCTCTGTCGGAAGCTCGTGGAGGTCTCGCCGATGGAGCTGGGCACCCGACGCTGGGAGCGTGGAGGGCGGCGGCTGTGCGGGGTGTGAAGAAGGGAAAATGGAGGGCAGCTGTGCGGTGAGCACCGGCGTTCGAGAACTACACGACCCGCCGGCCGACATCATGGGTCTCTGGCAAGCTAAGTGGATCTAAAGTGGGCTCGTCCGCCCGTCCGCGGCGCATGGTAGCAGATGAGTTCAGCTCAGGAACACTCGACCTCCAAGGAGTTCAGCGGCGCCCGGTGGAGGAGCAGAAGCGAAGCCGTTTTCGACAGACACGGCGAGAGGCTTGGACAGAGATCGATCCGTGGTGATTTCGGGGCTCATTGGAGCTAAAAAGGGGTT